TTGTTTTGTTGTACAATTTTTTCGCACAAGTAAAAAGTGAGGCGATGTCTTATAATTTTAATCATGATTCAAGGATTTGATTCAATTGCGTGCACAATCAAAATATGGATAAACGACAAGTCGAGTCAAGTCGAGTTGAGTCAAGTCGAGTCGACCCGAGTCGAGCTCAGCCCTTAGCCAGCTGGGAGCGGTATTCGTATACATTATGTGTGTGTGTGTGTGTGTGGGGGTGTGAGGTATGTGTGGCCGGGGGGTATACTCTATTACTCTATCATTATCTAATAGCTGCGCAAAACGAATTCAACTGCGAGTTGTTGAACTGTGCCTTCAACTACGAGCGAAGGCCTCCCGGCTCGACGCTTTATCGCGCGTATCGTGCATAAACTCGCCAAGTCGTCGATTTGTACATATGTATACATGTATACATCAAGTCAAGAGAGCTACAATTATACACATACATATACTTCAATATATATGTGTGTGTGTGTGTATGTTTGTGTGTGCTTAAATCAAGTAAACGTGTCAATCACAAAACGTCTTAGAAGTGTCAACAGCGCAACCAGCGAGAGAATCACACAAGAAACAATAAAACGATAATAATATGTTAGCTTGTAATAATAATAATAATAATACGAATCAGCGACAACAACAACAACAGCAACAACAGCGCCAGCAGTAACAACAACAACAACGATAATCAGTTAGATAAACATCTTGGATAGATAGCCACGAAGCGGGAATGCCCTTAGAATTGAGCAATGATAAGAGAAGTAAAGAAGACAGCGAGGGAAAAGCGGAGGGAAAAAGCCAAAGAGAGAGTGAGACAGAGAGAGAGAGAGAGAGGAGTAACAAGTGCAGGCAAGCTTTAAATGGAGAAACAGAGAGGGAGTTAGAGAGGGAGAACCAGAGACAGATAGAAAGAAACAGTGGGAGGGGGAGAGACGGATGTTTATATTTCTTAAAGTCTAAAGTTATATAATATGTAATATGAAACACATCTTGAGATCATTTTAGGGACAATTCAGAGATTCGGATTTCGGGATTCTTTTGTATATTATTTATAGTTGAGATCCTTAGAAGTTGAGATTCCAACTCAAGAATGACCACTATGCATGAATCCAAGTTTTATAATCAGTTTTGTGCTTTCACTAAACTACCCTAATAAAATTTAAGGGTATTGGTATTCAGTATGCATATATACATATTCATATAAATATATGTATATATATTTTGTTTTTATACCCTGAACCCATTGAAAATGGGAAATCAGGGTATAATGGT